TGTGATTACAGCAAACACTATGGCTGTGTACTGGATTTGATCTATGGTATACATTCTAGCTAGGCTTCTAATACTTTGGTTTTAAACGACTCTCAAGCATTTTAAAGAGATTTGACCCTCTTGATTTTACCTTTTAACCTCCTTTTCGCCAATCCCCTCTTGAGGGAGGGAGAATCTCTTCTGAAGTCAAATATGAACTGTGCTGTGTTTTTTTTGGCAATTGTACAGTTTAGGGTTGCCATACATCCAGAATTTCCTGGAAGTACCCGGAATACTGCAGTCAGAAGCAGTGTCTGGGTGGAAATAGGCAAAATGTATTGGAAAATCCGGATGTATGGCAACTGCCATGTTGGCAGTGTTGTTTTTGTCGATTTTCCTGAAAAATAGCCAACAAACATCAATTTTGCCAAAAACTGCGGGCAAAACTTTTGTGTCTGGATTTTCACTTTTTGAAATATGGCAACCCTAATTTCCATTTATACTGAATTTGATAGCACCATGGTCGCTGTTCCCAAACAGTTCAACAACATTTACATCTCACACCAGAGTCACTGCTCATTTGGTAAAATAATAATAATAATTCTCCACTGCTGTTCTTTAACTATAGTGCTCCGCAGGCAACATTTTGGACAGCCTAATATCTAATAATACCTGGAGGTACTGAACAGTAGAGGACAGAAGATGCCGAAAAGGACAGAAACAACAGAATGACACATGGCTTTGTGGGGATCCTGATCTGACTCAGGTGGGGAGGGATTATTGACATTGTGTTTTGCCTCTGGAAGGGGGAGGAAGACCCTCAAATCACCAAATTTGCCTTGTTATTCAGCCCACACAAAGAACCGATGCGCACCCACACCCACACACCAGTATTTAACATGTTTCTGTTAAGAGACTCATTGACAGACATCCAAATTCATCACCCTTTATTTGTCTCGCTTTGGAAACTCCTACCTTCTAACTCCTTTTTGCCTCCAACAAAAAAGCACACTAGGTTATTCTTCAAAACTGCTTCTTATTCTTTGTGTTATGCATAAAGGATTAGTAATTAGTAATTTATTAAAAGTATCAATAGACTAAGCCATGAAATCTTCCAAATGTTAAGAAAGTTTCCTTTTACTATATAGCCATAACTTTAAAGTTGTCTTGGGACAAGTCATTAAAAATATACAGGGGAGTAGGGAAGGTTATGGATCATATTCTCCCCTTCTGGGCGAAGTGTGCTCATCCTATTCAACCATTAATTTACATCTACTGGACTCTAGATACTCTTCCACAGTCCTGTTATATTCTCTTATCTCTCACTCCAGTAGCAATAATACTGATTCACTGAGCACTGAAGCACACTTTCGGTTATAGCTGAAACAATTTACCTTTTTAGACTCAGGAACAAATTGATATAGTTGGCAAAATTTGTGAGAATCTTTCTTATCTTGAGCAAGCAAGTCAGGTTTGTTGGAGCAGATGTCAAAGCATGGGAAGAGCACAGGAATCCAGAGAGATCAAATACCAAAAGGAGCTTTTAAAAAGAAGAAGAACCACCACAACAACTGTGCCTTACAACTTCATTATAGCTTGGTCGGAATGGGTTAGCAAGACATTCATTTTCTACATTGGCATTTAAAACAGTCTTAAGTTGGAAAAGTGTTCCTACAAACACTGGCAGTTCTTGGCCTATGTAAATTGTGATAGTTGGTCAACTGTACTTTATAGTGTGTGTGTATGTATGAGTGTCTGTATGCTATACATGCATGGGCTGTCACTACCATGAGCCAAAAAAGGCCAAATCTATGCAGTTTTTGTGCATCTGTATTGCATGTACAAATATCTCCAATGATATTACTGATGTCACAAGACTTTATCAGGTCTTTTGAAGGCATAGTGTGATGTCACCTGTGCTGTGCAGGTTTCAGTCCTCCCTCTTCTCCTTGGGTGCCGTCTGATGATGGCAGCCAAGCTTTGCAGTACACACCACTGCACAAGCTGTTGCTGTCCAGGTTGTGTTTCACATGGTTATATCACATGTTCACAACACACCAGGAATCATGTGGTTTGAAACAATAGGCCTGACAGATCACTTCCATAGATTTATTTATAGTCCAACATCACACAAATTATTTAATTTCTGTTTCCACAGCAACCATCAAGGAAATCAGGCTGGTGAATATTACCAGTATCACCACATATACCATACTGTAATGTATTCATAAAGGAATGTTAAAATACAAAGTCCAATTCATTCCTTTTGAGCGTTTGTAGTTCTACAAGGACAGATCAGTGACGAATATGGTATCGCTTGCTTAGGCATGTGAAATAAACTTGGGCTCAGTATCCTGAGACTAGAGTTAACGTTGTGGTTTTATTAATTGGCAGTTACAACTAGTTTTTGCAAGACCTTCAGCTGCTCTGGTCACACACACACACACACACACACACTTGGGATCTTCTGTAAACTCCCATCCTGATGTTTCTTGTTAGGAAATGTATCTAAATTACTACAATCACTATGGTATGCATGTCTATGTGTCACAAAGAGATACCAGTTACCCACGAAATCTGTTGCTGGACTCTAGTTAAGAGAACGCTTCATGTTTCAAGGTATCAGATCCCCATCAGGCTTGTATTAGATGGTCTTAGAAACACATTTAGCTCACAAGAACAATGTTGGAGATTGCTGACTTTGGTGACAACCATGTGATTCTCATAATATCTAGTCTCGACCCCATACATTATGGCGGTACTGTGGCTGGAACTCCAAAGTGCTCTCCCTCTGTTCAAGACTCCATGATGTATTTTATGGGCTTACCAACTAGAGTAGGGATAGAGAAACTGGCTTGTTGGAGTTGGAGCTGAACAACATCTGGAATGCCACTGCTTCCCCATCTTGTGTGGAATGTCTCTATACTAGTGCTATGCTTTTCCTGGGTTTGTGTCAGTAGAGACATCGGTGGGTGATACAAACATCATAGCTGTGAAACCAGCAATGAGAGAATACAGCTTTTGGTCACAGCCACATAGCCCCAACTATGTGTGACCCAGTTTTCAGTGGAATAATGGCGGGGGGGGGGGGGGGGATAAAATTGCAACCCGCAACCAGATTACCAGAATTTTCTCAGAGTCAGAAATTTTCTTCATTTAATTAATAGTATTTTAAAGCTTCTTTTCTGGGCAAGCCCATGCAAAGCAGTTTACAGCACATAAGACCCCCCAGCAATGAGTGAGTAGTTAACTATCAATAAACAAATTGGTGAAAACAAAACACAACGATACAATCCAGCCAATGAAGCAATCACATATCTGGAAGTCTAGTATAAAAACACATGTTTTCAGAGCCTTCCAAAATCGCTTTGGTGTAATAACATGATGCAGATCTGAAGCAAGAAAATTTCAAAGCCATGGGGCCACCACAGAAAAGCCCATTCTCTTGTGGCAACCCACTCACTCATTTAGGTGGTGAGCACTTAAAGCGAGCCTCTGGTGCTGATGTCAGTGTGTGGGCAGGAGGTTTTTTTGGTTGCAGAACAAATTTCTGCCTATAGTGTTCACCTAGTGCAGTTTTTTAGCTGAAGATAAACGCAAGAAAAGGAGGACGAGCCATCTGTGTAGGACGTTATTGCTGCAAACACACAAACCTGCATTTGCTAAAGATGTCTTTCTTACCTCCCTGACCACAAAAAGAAATGATTGTTTCAGATAGCTGTATGTACAAGAACGTCCTTTTTCTCTCTAAATGCCATCAACAACACTTTCAAGTGATTTACTGTACCTTGTAATTGGTTTGCAGAATATGAATATTTTACTGCCACTGTGACAAGTCTCCACAGCATCCATAATAGTGGCATTCAGCAGGACATGATTAATTATTTTTATGTTTTGCTCTGTTGTGAAGTAAAATGGTTCAATTTTTTAAATATATTATTCTGCCACAGAGAATGTACAAAAGGAGTATGTCATTGTAGGTCCAAATGTGTGGCTTCCTTGGTGAATCCAAACTAAGCCAGTCGATCCCATATGGGCTCCTTAGGGTGGAAGGATGGGACACAGAAAATAATCATAGAATCATAGAATTGTGGAGTTGGAAGGGTCAATGAAGTTCATATAGTCCAACACCCTGCAATGCAGGAACCTTTTTGCCTCCTTCCTCTGTTGTTTCATGTGTTTATTTTAAGTGGTTAAGTCCCATGGGGTACGCACCTGTTATGACTGTTCTTTGAAATGTGCTGCGTACATAAATGATGCTCATATTTTGCATGTATGTAAGGCCTGGTTGTGTGAGTTGGCATACTGGCTGAATTGGTTCATACATGCAGTACAGAGGCAATTCAGTGTGAGCCAGGCTGCATACATGGTAGTGGGACAGGGATGCATGCCTCAGTTGCCAATCTACACAATGGAGATACCAACAACATGTTTCAAATTGTTCTGAACAGGGAGGTGGGATATTCGGAACACTGATAATTCTGTGTAAGTTACTGGTCGTATGTAGAACTTACATACAGCATCTTTTTGTAGTTTGTGTCTAGTTTGAAAAACCATTTTTATTTTATGTAACTGCAAAGTATTTCACTCTAAGAATGTCGGGGGCAAGTACATAAACCCACATTCAAGTGTGTTCTATAAAAACAGCTAATACTTCCATTAGTGTAATTGCATTTTCCAAATAATAATGAATGTTCAGCTGACACTTCAAGATGTTGATGACTAACCAGGGAAAACATTTATGTGCAAAGCTCTTTTCCTGATTTTACAGTCTAATGTTGCTCTATGCTTGGTCTTTCTTTCCTTCCTATGGAATCTTCTTAATAGATATAACACATATTTTCTCACCATGTGTTTTCATTGCTACTCTCTTGTGTAGCTGTACTTCATATGGCCACATATCCTCCTGTAGCCCCTACTTTTACCCTGGAATGCTGCTCTCTTGGGTCAACAAAGCTTCCTTAGAATGTAGCAATTCTTGGAATTCTAGAACACCTTTGAGAAGTAAGCAGTTGGTTCCTTTGTTCCTTTATCTGCAGCATTAGGTGCAGGCAGCCATTTTAAAAAGTGCATCTTTCCACAGTGGGAAGCGATAACAGCAGGTGGGGAAAACCTCTCATGAGGAGAGCAGCACATGCACTCATTGTTATTGTTCTTGGGAAGGTAAAATTGTGTAGACATAGTGATTGTGAGGCAGCCAAATGGGATTCCTACAGAAATTTGACTGAATAACTTGTACTATTAACATCCCTTTAGGAATGCGAAAAGCTGATTAAGAGGAAACAGACTGACTTTGGACTTTGCCACCTTGCTTTTTCTAGTTCCAGCTCAGCATCTGAATAAGTAGGTTGTTGCCCACAAAAGCTTGTGCTTGTAACAAAAACTTGCAATAAAAAGCTCATTATAAACTAGTCTCAAGGTGCTGTCAAATACATTTATGTTTTGAAGCATAAACTATTATTTGAAACCATAGTCTGAGGACAGTTTGTAAACTGTGGGTTTGGAGGTTATTCCTAACCCTACTAATAGTTTTATTATTAGTGTATCTTTATATATTATAAATACATGCATATACATTTATATATTACATTTATATTATAATATATTGTAATTATATGTCAGGCTTCAGGGAATTAACTTCCTCCCCCCTTTGGCAGTAGATAAGCAGAACAAAGGAAAAGGAGTCTCCTTACCAGTTAGAAACTTTAATGATCACAGTGAGAGAACAAATAACCCCCTTCCTAGGAACGGTGGTGCTCCCAATTAAGGGTTCCACCCACTTCCTCCATAGTCACCCCCGTCACTACCGCATCTTGTCACCGGAGCTTGTAACCACTGTGCTTTCTGTGCTTTCTGTTCTGCCACTTTCTGAGCTCTTCTTGACCTTGGGGAGAGCGGGGGAATGCTTTCCAGAGACAGTGAATCTATTAATTCTCTCTCTCCCAGTGCTTCTTCTCCATCCAGTATTTCCCAGCTTCTGCCGTCTGAACGATGTCCCTCTGCAAACCAGTGTTCCAAATCTATACTGTCCTCCTGCTCCTGGGAAGATTCAGGGGGTGGGGGAGGCTCCCAACATTCATCCTCAGTGCAGCCCTCCTCAGCACGGTCTCTGACATTATATTATCTAATATAATAACAAATCTAATAATCTAATTTACCATCTATATTATGTTTAGCGCAACACGGAAATTAAGGGAAGTGGAATACACAAGAAGGAAGGAGGAAGGATGCAAAGACTGAATGCATTAGGCCAATGAGAGCTCTCCAAACTGATTCGCCACTTATTTTTTTGCTATGAAGAATTAATGAAGGCAATCCTGCAGTTGAATTCACAGTTCTGTAGCCCGTGGAAGGGATTCATTGAGATCTATGAAATGATGGTATTAAAATACCAGTCTCCTCTAGCTATAACAAGTTTCATGAAGTTAAGTGAAATTATTGAAGACTCAGTCATAAAGCAGCAAAATTGGAGCTGCAACCTGGATTCAGTGGATTCCGTTGTCCCACTAGCATATATAAGGGCACCACTTAACTACCCTGAAACCATGGTCATATGTGTGAAACAAATTCCTGGCTTATTACTTTCAAAGAATCAAGAATACAGTGTTGAAATGTATTTTCTTCGTACTTTTGGAAACATACCACTTCATATGTACTTATAGCAATAGTGTATTTGTCTGTAAGGAATGAAGGTAAGATTGGAAGCAATTCAGTGCAAGGGAATATTAACATTTGGAGGAGAAGAAGAAGAAGAAGAAGAAGAAGAAGAAGAAGAAGAAGATCAGCCTCTCTACAGATAGGCGTCAGGCTAATACAAAAAGAAGAAGAAAAGCAAATAAAGACCATAAACAGAGAAAAAGACTACATTTTTTAAATTACTGAGTTGTGTGTAGAATGTGGGACAAAATCTAGGAGAGGGGGGGAAAAGTTGAGCTTTCTCTGGTTTTTAGTATTATCATGACTGAAGGAACTTCATGTGATTTTTGGGCACTTGGTTGGTAGAATGCATATTTTCTATCCTGTTAGAGCAACCCCAATGAATAGGCTTATTTAACCCATTGTTGTTGTTTAGTTGTTTAGTCGTGTCCGACTCTTTGTGATCCCATGGACCAGAGCCCTCCAGGCACTCCTGTCTTCCACTGCCTTCCACAGTTTGGTCAAACTCATGCTGGTAGCTTAGAGAACACTGTCCAACCTCTGTCATCCCCTTCTCCTTGTGCCCTCCATCTTTCCCAGCATCAGGGTCTTTTCCAGGGAGTCTTCTCTTCTCATGAGGTGGCCAAAGTATTGGAGCCTCCGCTTCAGGATCTGTCCTTCCAGTGAGCACTCAGGACTGATTTCCTTCAGAATGGAGAGGTTTGATCTTCTTGCAGTCCATGGGACTCTCAAGAGTCTCCTCCAACACCATAATTCAAAAGCATCAATTCTTCAGAGAACAGCCTTCTTTATGGTCCAGCTCTCACTTCCATACATCACTACTGGGAAAACCATAGCTTTTACTATACAGGCCTTTGTTGGCAAGTTTAACCCATTAGGGAAAAATAACTCGGTAGAGAACTAGAAGGAATGAACTGAAGCTTGTTGTGCTGGGAGCTCAAGAATATATAATCCTTATCACGTCGTCCAGTACATTGATTGATAAAAGCAATGTTCAGACTAGTTGACTAGGAAGTTTTCAAGCAAGACTTGTCCAATTTTCAATCCATACCCTCCAACATTTCTTTGATGAAAATAGGGACATCCTAAGGAAAAGCGGGACACTCCGGGATTAAATCAGAAACCGGGATGGCTTCTGTAAATCCGGGACTGTCCCTGGAAAAGAAGGACATTTGTAGGGGCTGTCAATCTGGGCAGAAAAGGAATGGCTAACCATGCATTCTGCGACTATTTGAATTGCCCATGGGTTTCACTTTCTTGCACTCTGGCAAGAGAGATTTATGCAGTGAAGCAAGCTTCTGAGCACAAAGCCATTGCAGAACCCGGTGTGCATCTGAATATACATATGCTTCTGAACTGAGATGCTAATCTTGAACTAATACCATGTGCCTTTTGAGACAGATAGTGGCATGCATACCATCTAAGGATACTAGTGGTTCCATGCAAAAATCACCCATGATTATTGTGGCACCTATTTCTGGAATTTTTGATCATAGTAATTGCAGTATATAATATCCACAATCACCTGCATTTTGTTTATCTATACAACTGTGCACTAAGAGGGTCTTGTACATACAGGGCCTATTAGCACACTTTGAGTTGTGTGTAGCAGACTGGTGAAATTAGAGTTGGGAATAACTAGTAAGGTGGTCATAATGTATTTTAATGTTTTTAATCCTAGCCATCACTAGAGACCAAATTTTCACAACCAAATCATAGTGTCCTTTTAATTAAAAATATCAAGCCAGGAAAAATGCACAGTGCCACCTGGGATCCTTCCATGAAAAAGAGAGAATTTATTAAGAATGTGATATATCATGAACTGCTTACAGGTTCCTTCCTTTATGCAAACGGTGTTCCATTTCTGGATTATTATTCAGCAGCAGAAATCACAACTGCTGAACAGTTAAGGCCAGAGAAAACATTTCTGGAGATCTTTTATTCCCCTTAAAAAAAGAATCCAGTGTTTCTGTTGCTTTTTAAACCAACTTAACAACCTATGGGGGGGGCATGGTATAGTATTAATCTTGCCCCTTGGTATCATTAGGCTTTCTTGTAGTACACAGCACCCACTTTAAATCGAAATTGTTCTCTTTTCATCATGAAAAGGAAATGTTCCCAATGACCATTCACTGTATCCACCCCACAAGCAGAAAAGCTGACTAATACTCTTAGCTCCCCAAGATGCAGGGGCATAGGAAGGGGGGCAGTGGGGGCGGGCTGCCCCGGGTGCCCTCACTGAGGGGGGGGGTGACATTTGGCATGCCCCCTGCCTGCAACTCCCAAGCTTACCCCGGGCTGTCGGGGGGGTAAGGGGGGTGAGCTGCGCCACTTTGCCAGTGGCATTCCCCGCTTCCCCCTTCGTTTTGACAGCTTGGGAGAGGCTTGGGAGTGGCTCACTCTGCCCCCAGCTGCAGGGCGCGCACGCTGTTCCGGGAGCCCGAGGGCTATCCTGTGCCTGGGAGGGCACCCTCTGCGCCACGCCCCCCCTTGGGAGCGCGCCCGCCCTGGGCAGTGCGGGCATATGTTCTGCCACTGCCAAGATGCACCTAATGGTGGTTGTGAGGTCACTCAGGATCAGAGGGGGTGGGGAGATTTTACCTGACCATATCTTTGTCATCTGCTGCAACACTTTACTAATGATTAATTTGTCAGCCAGAGGAAAAAGACTGCCAGGAAAAAAAGAGAGCTTGTAACAAACTATATATAAGGATAGGGAAGAAATTCAATTCCATTTAAAGGCAAACATACCTAATTCACACACACACACACACACAGAGAGAGAGAGAGAGAGAGAGAGAACCAAAGCACAACCATCTAAATTTAATTGTTATCAATTTTTGCACTGCCCCTCTCCGGCTAAGTAATGTGTACAAAAATGTATATGCTAGGGTAAAGTGTTATAAAAATGCATTTATTTGCAAAAATAACTGATCAAAATGCATTATATTAATGAAAACTGCTTTGCGAAAATGTATCCATAAGGCAAAATTGCATACAAGCATGTGTCTGTTAGGAGAAGTTTCCACTAAAAGGCGAATAAACGTTCTCAAGGACATTAAAACATACATAGAATAAAGTATTGCAGCTCCCAAATGTACGCGAGCGTGCTTGCTCATTCATGCTAACCCATAGTTTGTCTTAGCGTTCCGTGCAAACGGAACCATTGGATTGTAATGGGAACTTAATCTTGCATCAATAAAAGTATCCATTGCACAATCCTGTGAACGTTTGCTGGATCAGAGAATCTAATTAGTTTTTAAATGTTAGGCTTCCCTGTGCTTAGGCAAGTATCGCATCGTTTTGTAATGTGGTGATTGTCTTTTTGCTTGGTGAGGCTTAGTGGAAATTAACACTAGGTCATTGTGTTACATGCGGAGTCTAAACAGACCTTCCTAATACAGTTTTACTCCAAGAGCTTGTACCTTATCGACAGCATCCCCATTTATTTCAGCAACATACCTCATTAGTTGTAGGTCAATACTACACTAACTGGAATATTAGAAATTCCCAAAAGAGAACAAGATACAGAATACCATATACACAAGAATTTTGGAGCGAGAGGCGATTAGATTTCACTGTGTGCAGGAGCTCTATATGGAAACACATTTATTGACCAATAGCAGTCATGGCATCACATAATACCATTAACTGTGGATGCCTGCAAGGTTTTCTTTCAGCAGCTATGCTGGGCTTTGAAATGCTTTGCTGTAGCTTCTCAGCACAAAGAAAACACGCCATTAAGGCTAAGTAATGGAAGGAGAGGCAAAAAACGACAACGACATTTTGAATGGTTCGTGAAGGAGCACAAAAGTCACATACATTAAAATGGCTTTTTTAAAAAACAAAGGGAGGTTTTTTTTAGTGCTTACTGTGTTTTGTTACTCGGCGATGAAGAAGTAAATAATTGCTCCTGCTGGGGCATTTTATATCCTGCAGCTTTGGGGGGGGGGAGTATGATTTTTAAAAATGGGGGATTCAATAGGACTGTTTTCCCCACACAACTACCAGCTGTGGTTAATTTCTGAATCATGGGAACCTTTGGCTCTCCTGAAGCTGTTGGGACAACCATAACGACCCCCAGCTGCACCCAGCATGGCCAATAGTCATGGATGATAGGATTTAGAGTCCAACAACAGATTCCCCACCCTTGTTTAAATCCCTTGTGCGCCTGACTGTCATGGACTGGCTGGACACAGAGGAATGGTGAAGGCACCAGCTGGGCAACCCCTAAGGGAAGAAGGCTCAGAGCCAGGGGAATGGTGGTGGGAGGAGGTTTTGGAAGCAGAAGAGGTAACTTGGTTTAGTGAGCAGGGAGAATCTGTGACAGAGAGAGGTCCAGAATCAGAAGCTGAAGCAAGAGAGGAGGGTCAAGAGGTAGACATGGGTCAGGCTAGTGAAAAGGCATGGGTGTCTCTTCCTTCTGCTTTGACAAGCTACCCACTGGTCTCCTAGGACCAGAAGAGGTATGAAGAGGGAGGAGCAAAGACAGACCTGTTGACAGAGTCTCAAGTTGCTTGGGAAGGGCTGGGGGGAGGAGAAGATTTAGGCAGCTGTGGGAAGGTGGGGACCTTCAGCCTCTGCAATTGCCTCAAGACCACCGAGAAGAGTTGCTTGTGCTCATTAGGCCTGTCTCCCCTGAGCAGGCCTTGTTTCTTCTTATAAAGAGTTAACTTCACCTACTCCATGTGATTTATTGCTGGCTGGCTCCCTGACGCTGACCAATTCCTATAATTCCTTCCAGTGGTTCATGTCCAAAAAGGGCAGTGCTAAAACTCAGTGCTTCCTGACAGCTTCACACTCAGTTCTAAATGAAAACCCAGAAGCGTGGGTATGAGATGTGGTTACCGGTGTATGAAAAATATTCTGCACAAGCTGAGGAATACTCTTACAGTATCTTGTTATCAAAATGCTTATCAAGGATCTCTCACTGCAACCTTTAATCTAAGTGCGTGCCACTGGTTGGGGACGGAGCAGTTAGTTGTGTGAATGTTAGTTTTTCTCTTGCAGATGTAATTGACCCAGTGTGTGTGTGTGTACCTGCTCACAGTCTACACACACATTTGTTCATTCAACCATCTCTTCATCATGCTAAGACCTCTGACCAAGAGACTGAATCTGGGAGTTGTGCGTTCTGCCTGTGATCTATCCCAGAAATAAGTGTTAGCATTTGAAGTCATTTCTGTAGCTGAGCATTAGCTCCAGATACAGCCTACCATTTCCTCTCCCCTTCAAAAGTTGCAGTGTGTGTGTGTGTGTGTGGTGAAAATGAAAAACTTGATAGGAGCCATTTTATTGGAGAATGGAGGGTTTGTTCCTCGTAGAGCCCATGAAAGGGAATCTAGGGCAATTTTTTCCTCATTTTTCTCATTGTTAACATTTATTTGTAGAGCACTA